CTGCTCCTGCTTTCATCTCCTTAGCTTGCTCTTCTCCCTTCGACTCCGTGTTTTTGTCCTTTGCTTCATCCTGTTTCTTCTTGCTGAGAGAGAGGGTGCCAGCTTTCGCCCTCTTTGGCATCGTGACAGGCTCCGCACTTCCGCCACCAAGAGAAAGCTTAGCGGCATCGGTTGTAGACATCTTTGGCGGCTCCCGCTCTGCAGATGGAGCAGTACTCCCCGCAGCACCAATAGGCTGGGGGGCGCTGCCACCGCCACTGGCAGGGCCAGACTGCGACCAAGTCGACTGGTTCTGATAGCCCTGCTGCTGCTGCTGCTGCTGTGGGGGATAGTAGCCACCGGTCATTCCACCGTAGCCACCCCGTTGTGGGGGATAATAGCCGCCAGACTGACCGCCGTAGCCACCCCGTTGTGGGGGATAATAGCCGCCAGACTGACCGCCGTAGCCTCCCTGTTGTGGCGGATAATAGCCGCCAGACTGACCGCCGTATCCACCCTGCTGCTGACCGTCGTAGCCTCCCTGTTGTGGCGGATAATAGCCGCCAGCCTGACCGCCGTAGCCTCCCTGTTGTGGCGGATAATAGCCGCCAGACTGACCGCCGTAGCCTCCCTGTTGTGGCGGATAATAGCCGCCAGACTGACCGCCGTAGCCACCCTGCTGCTGACCGTCGTAGCCTCCCTGTTGTTGGGCTCGCGGGTAGCTGCCCTGCGCCTGATCCTGAGGATTGTACAAGTTCGCATTGGGATTAAGGGATCCCGGTTGAGCCCAGCCAGACATATTTACTTTCTCAACGCACTCGCTAAGGAAAAGTAGAAAGGGGAAAAGGTTATACCGGATGTGCCAAAAAGAAGCAGTAAGAAAACAAGAAAAAAAACGCAGGAATCGAGCAGTAAAATCAATTTCTCTGTGGTAGAAGAGCCCAACAGTTTTTGGCCAGCCTCCACACCCCCGGCTGCTGCCACCATATATATATATATATATATTTTTTTTGGGTGCGGATGCAAAAGGTGTGGTTTGACTTGTGCGCCTGTCACAGAAAGTTTATGTGTCGCCATGATGTGTTTTCTCACACTATGATAAAATCATCGCGAAGCTCTACTTTCAAGCCTTGGTCTCTCTCCTTCTATCCCGGTTCTGTTGCAGAATAGCACAGAATGAGAGGGAAAAAACGAAGGCTCACAGGACGAGCGCAAATATGCACAAGTAGCATTCAGCCCACTCACCCCATCGATAGCGTTGCCTCTGCAACGAATACTGATGGATTGTCCTAGATATTACAAACGCGAAGAAATTTTTTTTCTAGAGGGGTGATGAATGCGGGGGAGGTCCCTTTCAGTTCTCGTCGTTCCTTGTGGAGCACACAAACAAAAGAAGCGAGAAAAGGAGGAACGCAGCCCCCACTACTAATTAATGATGATAATCGTGCCAGTAGTTATGCACATACATCATCGAGCACTCAAAGAAATTTGAGATTCAGAAACGGTTGAATTGCGTCAAAGTGGGTATCAGAGAGTTGACGCCAAACATTTTTCGCCGCCGGGGTCCCCGTCGCATTGATATAGTTGGATATAAGTCCAACCACCTCTGGCGAGAGAGCACCTCGCTGCAACAACCTGAACAATTCCATCGCCGCCTTTGAAACCGCCGAGCGACGTTGAGCACTGTTTACTTGCTGAATATCCGCACGCAGCTTTTGAGCAAACGCTTGGTGCGCGGGGTTCAACGAGTTCATGTCAAATTGCGACAAACCGCCATCATCAAGGCCTTCGCCCGCGGCCAACGGCCTACTAGGCGGGACACGTGAAGGGATCGCAGAAGGGAATGCACTACTGCCATATGGCGCTGGTGGGTACGATCTCTGCTCGTAAGATGGCGCACGATACGCAGAGGATGGAGGAGTGGCTACCTCAGGCTGTGGCACTGCATTCTGAGGCAAGAGGTTGTTCTGAGACGGCACCGGTGGTGCATGCGGCAGTCCACCCCCCATGCCACGATAATTCGCCTGCATGCCACCTGGTACTTCTTCCTTGGGAGTGGTGCCGCTCATTGAGTGTGTACCGAGTGCTGGCATTGGGGCTCGCCCCGGTGGTGACGGCATCCCCGCTGCTACTGCTGCCCCTGTTGTTGATGACGATGACGACGGTGGTGGTGGTGGTGGCGGAAGATTGTTGTGCAGCGACGAGGCACTCGCGGAAAGGTGCGTACCACGTGACGGTGTATTTTCTTCAAACCCCGCCGGGCGTGAGTTTTGGAGTGAGGGGCCACGCAAGCCGGGTTGGGGCTGTGTATAGTAGCTACCAGACTGTTGGGGAGGCATTGTCGATGTACCAGGGGGCGGCGGTGGTGGCGGACCACCACTAGTCCCCTGGTACGGCATAGGCTGCTGTGTCCTGGAAGGTTGAGGTGGACCTGGCGGTGGCTGCATCCCGGGCATGGACGAACCCCGTGATGCGGCTGATAGTGGGGGTGGCGGCATGTGAGGGTCAACGTAGTTTTGCGGCGGTGCAGCCATACNGGACGAACCCCGTGATGCGGCTGATAGTGGGGGTGGCGGCATGTGAGGGTCAACGTAGTTTTGCGGCGGTGCAGCCATACCGCTTGGTCCAGCCAGCTGTGGCTGCTGGATAGGTGGACCTGACTGGATACCATTGCTGTAGGCACTAGGAGCCATTGGTTGCGGGGGAACGGCAGAGACTGGTGTCCCTTGCTTCATCGACGAGTAAGAAGAAATGGGATGCGGCATAAGGCGAGGTGCCGGCGTGCCCGTACCTGGGGGCATCGGAGGCGCTACTACACCCTGCGCCGGATGCTGCTGCGCGTAAAAATTTTGCTGCTGCATAGGCATCACTTGACGCTGCGGCTGTTGTTGCTGTGGTTGCTGCATGGGTATCGACTGCTTTTGTTGTAGATGCATGGGCGTCGGTTGAAGCTGCTGCTGTGGTTGCTGCATGGGCATCTGTTGTTGTTGTTGTTGTTGCTGTTGTTGTTGTTGTTGTTGCTGTTGTTGTTGTTGTTGTTGCTGTTGTTGTTGTTGCTGTTGCTTTTCCGCCAAGAAGGCGACGCACGCTGGACTCGGAGACTCCGGCAGCTGTATTACTGAAAAGGGAAAAGCAACTTGGCCTACCGGTACCTCGAACTTGAGACGATCGACCATGACAGCAGCACCACAATTACCAATGCTCGCTGAACGTTGCAAAATTGCAACTCCCTCTGCGATCAATCCATCACCCACCAATCTCATGCCATATTCATACAGAGAGTCAGCGAAAAAAGCCGACGTCACACGGCGGCCCGTTACATCCTCAAGAAGAAGCACCTCACGCATCATTTTTCGTACAGGTACTTGGTCCTCACGCCAGAGCTCCATCACTGCGTCGACATTGCCACTGCAAACGAAGCACGTCATGGCACCCTCTCTGTTACCCTGCTTCCTCAGCGCATCCCCCAGCTTGTCGCACGCCTCTGCAAACCCGTCGCCCACAAATGAGATAATGACGGAAAGAGCCTCCTTCCACGGGGCACCTTCACCTGCAGTCAGTGTGCCAAAATCGCCAGAGGCAATGGCCGACGCATACACAACGTGCCGCTTCGCCGGGCAATGCTTCAATGTATAATGTCCGTACTCCTGATGCACCCTCTCTAAAAGCTTTCCACCCTCCAGGTAGGCGATTGCAAAGGCGTCGTCAAAGCGGTTGTCGTCCAGACACACTTCAACTGCCTCACGGATGCGGCCGGCTGAAATATGAGCGGCCGCGACCTCTTCAAGTGGCTTCTGCGACGCCTGCATGCTTTCAAACGGGTCTTCACCTTCGTCGTTTGGCGCGGTATCCTCGCTTAGGTATGCGAGGATGGGTGTGCGGTCACTCTTGCATGCCGCCGCAGCAGCGAGGAGGTTGTAGTTCTTTTCCTTCAGCCACTGAACCCGCTCCGGTGAGTCGCGCGGATATTGTTTTAGGGCCTCTCCGAACGCCAAATCCAGTGATGTTGTTGGGCTCATTACATTTATACCCGAGACATGCGTGAGGTCAATCGCTGTGGTGGAGTTGCGGGCGAGCGAGGCAACAAAGCCACCCAGCCCGATGGACGCGCCGCATGGCTTCTTCAGCCACTTCGGCACTGGTGCGCTGGCGGCGTTGGCGGCGGATGCGTCCTCCGCCGTCGACACGCACAACAGCGGCTCAAGAGACGAGGTTGCCAAGACGCCTGGCAGCACCGGCGACCACTGGACATCGATAACATAGCTGCTCTCTTCCTGTAGTGCACCTCCCCGCTCCCCTGTGGCGGGATCCCACCAAATCGTTTTACCATCGGCGCCGCACGAAGCCACCATCGTTGCGTCTTCGGGGTTCCACGCAAGCCCCGTCACAGCACCTTTGTGACCACGCATCTCCCGCAAAGGCAGCATCGACTTCTTGAGGTCCCAAATTTGAATTGCAGGATCCTTCTCGTCAAGTGCGACGGCAATCTGCGTCGCCACAGTAGGGTGCCATGCGATCGCATTAGCGCTCACCCCCGTCTTCCCTCCTTTCGATACATTCAGTGTAACAGCGAGGGTCTGAGACTTGAGGTTCCAGACATTGACGATGCTGTTCGACGACGCGGTCGCAATGATGTGCGGGTACTTTGGGTGCCACTGCAGGTGAACAATGGCAGCGGTATGGGCCGCGTTTGACATGACAGGAACCCTCTGCGGCTCCCGTGGGTCTTCGAGAGTCCACACGTCCCATTCCCCATCGTCAGCGCCAATAGCTAGAAAATTCGGTTGAGATGGGTTAAACTGGCAGCCACGCACCGCACCGCGATGCTCAACAATAGCGCAGAGCAGCGGGTCATGTGTATTGTAGTTTGGGTTCTGCTGGTGGTTCTTCATGATGATATCCGCATCGTACACGTACACCGCGCCGTTACAGCACGCAACGGCGATCATTCCGCATGCCGCCCCAAAAGGGCACCAATCCACTCGCATGGCCCTTTCCGGGATGAGTGTACGGCCCACTACGGGCATATCGGTTTCATCCGTCTGTGTAACATCCACGAGACGAATTTCCAAGAAGGCCTCGTTGCTGAAGTCATCATCCATCGCCCCCGCCAAAGATGCTGCCGCGAGAAACGTCGGGGTGCCGAGACTACTCGGGCCCCACGCCAAGGCGCAGGACATGGATGTGGTCTTAAGACGCATGATAAATGTATTTTATTCCTCAGTAATCGTGATACAAATCCTTTTTTTTTTTTCACTCTCGAATTCGTGTTTCAGGCAGTTCTCGTTGAGCCAATCTAACGAGGGATAATAGTGTCGCACCTTTCGCCTTGCTACCTTCGGACAATTGTTTTTGTCGGTTCTGCGTATACGCTTGCTTCAAAACGGGGGAAAAGAGGAGAAATTTGGGAAAACAGACCCCCCAACAAAAAAAAGAGTGAGCCACCAAAAGCACGGCCCAACTAGCGAAATAAGCAACCATACACACAAGATGACTTGCACGCATACACAGCCACACAGAGAGTCCACAAACGATAATATGCAAGAGAGATGCCGGTAAATACACAATACACACACACACACACACACAATTTCACTGGCTCCTGAGAGTACCAAGAGGGAGGCCATTAGTGGTACAAAGCAAGCAGATGCAACAGCTACAGGAGGAATAAGAGAGGGAGGTAAAGGGGGCAGTCGGGTTTTCCGTTGGTGCACCTTCATGTAGCTGCACCTCCAAATCCGCGACGTGTGGTGCAAAGCGAGAGGCCAACGCACCAGACATAAGTCGATTTCGCGTCACTACACAAGGCACATTCGGGTACGCGTGCCGCAGCACATCTGCCAGAGTTACAGAGCCCTTCTTAAAGCGGTCAATGTACTTCGCAAAGGATATGGAAAGTGAAATATCGGCTATTCCCCACTGTGCCTGGCATCGTCGCCGTCCTGGGAGAATAAGCCTTTCTAGTGCGTTTAAGGGCTGAGGAATATGTTCGTGGCCCCGCGATCGAGCCGCCATAAACCGGTTTTTCGCGATAGCCATCGATTGTATGGAAAGTGAACCTGTTTGCATCTCATCCAACTGAGCAAAAGCCTGCATGTAGCCGCGAAAGACGTGCGGGGGAAAGATAGTAACTTCACATCGGCGCAATGCCTGCAGAGGGATGCACGGGCACAGCCCCTCCAGTATCTCAGAGAAATCGAGTTGCTCGTTGCCGTCCAACATCTTCTGCCGAAGGAACAGACCACGTGGCACACGCACGCCGCCAACAAATCCCCTCGCCGCATCTAACTGGTCCAGGGTGAGTTGAGTCTTCTCAGAGGTCATACAGTCTCCAGATCTTTTGAGTGAGAATAATTCAATGCTGCCCCGCGTTTTATCAGGGCGTCCTCTTCCTCCTCCCTGAAGCGCTTCGCCCTCCCGGCCAGTTTGCACTAGCTGCAGAAATCCATCCTTCTTGCTAGAAACAACCCCGGCCAGCACCCCACGTAAACGCAGCAGAGTTTCGAGATGTAACTCCTGCGTTATGCTACGACAAATATCAGCTTCACTCAAGTGTGGAAAGAGACCCTGCATAAATGCAATAAATTCCACGTGGGTCACAAGAGAAGTATCTCGTGTAGAAGACTGCGCCGCCCTGAGAATTGACTGAAATATATTATCTCCATCTGCGTGTAACTCAAAGGTGGCCTCAAGTGTTGGCAATGGCACCTCCCCTGTGAATGCTTCATCCATCCTATCAAAGCAGCGCTCCAGACGCTGCAGTAAAACAGGTGGTATATGGCGCACGAGTTTGTGCGCCACAGTCAGCGTTCCGACGCCGTTCCCAAGAGGACTCTCAAGATCGTCAAAACGTGTAAGGGTACCCTCTTCAAGATAGTGACTCAGTGAAGGCGGCTCGTGCGTAGGATCTATCCGCATTGTTTCCCATTTGCACCGATCACGGAACCATTGGGTCCGTGTACAGCGCTGAACGGTGGTGGCTCTACCATATTGGGGCATTTGTTTCACTTCAACGCTTGTGCATATACCCTCACCTGTGCGACGACCACCCACCCAATTTCCCTCGAAAACATCCCCATTCTCATAGAATACCACCCCACTTCCATGCTTCTCACCGCGAGAATAATCCCCAACATGTATAGAGCCGTTACGACAGTAGTAGACTATCCCATGACCGTGTGGACGTCCACCTACAAAATCACCCACGTACGTTTGATCCCCCGGGAAGTGCTCCACACCATATCCGTGAGGAACATCATCCTTAAACTCTCCCTCGTATGAATAGCCAAGTGCAGAGTAAAGGGATCCCAAGCCGCTTCGTTGATTGTTTGACCACTGTCCAATAAAGAAACTACCATCAGCAAAGTACATGGCGCCGTGACCTTCCTTAACCAACGTCCCCTGCGAGGAAGTGGTGATGGCGGTGGTAGGTTGGCGGTAGTGCCCGACGAATGTGTGAACCGCCTTGCCGGATGCGTACTCAGTTCCTGCAGTTGCGCGCATCTCATCGGCGGTGTAGGGTCTCACTTCGCCGCCATGCAGCACCGCCGCACGGGACCTCAGCAGCTGCCGTCCACCGGGAGCACCACTCCCCTCTGTACGAATGAGCGATACAACAGGTTCCTCAATTAAATCCTCAACAAGTGGTGTGAGGCTAAATGTGGGCTGAGGGCTACTTGTAGGCGCAGCAAGCACCGGGCATTTAAGCGCAGAATCACGCAATCCCGTCCCATGCGCTTGTGCAGCTGCTTTAGCAAAATGCATGCCGTTTTTCCCTCGCAGCCACCTACGGCCTCAGGTGGGGGGTCCTAGGAAAGAGAGTAGCAGAGAAAAGCGAAGAGAGACACACAGTGAACAGGAAGCAACAGGAAGAAAAAAAAAAAAGTACATATGTCGTTCGCCACGAAGCTCACCTCACAAAAACTTTGACCAAAACAAAATGAGAAAAAAAAC